CGCATGCAGTGGACATGGAGGGAAGCAAATGAACTCGGTATGGTCACGCTCCGCGTATCGTTGCAGAGTTTCTACCTAATAATTTGGGGGATGCAAATCGCAGTCCAGGATGTAACCTCCTTTTCCTCTTCCGCCTTCCTCACCCATCTGCTTCTATCCTTCCTTTGGCCTCTTATCAATTCAAGATTTTTATACTCTCATTCCTTTTCAGTCACAATAAAAAAGTGCAGTGTGACTTGTTCATCAAATCCCCTCTGAAATGCAAGTATTTTTTCAATCCCCGCCAACAGCTAACAAAATGAGCTTTAGAATATCCAAAAATAGCTTCCAGATTGTTAAGATCGGAGTGAAAATTTCCAGTGGAGAGCTACGAGTCCTTTCAAATAGAACCACGAGATGCCGAACTTCCAGTTTAGGGGATACAGGAGAAAATCTGTCAAGGCGTCATAAAATTTTATGAAGATTCCCCCCATCCTTACTTTCCCCTCCACTCCATTCCATGCCCCTTTCCTTTACGGGCACTTTACTACATCCGTCGTGAGTAACACTTCATGAACCCTCTAATAACAGAAGCAATTACATGACAAGCTTACTTCATCCAGAAGAACCCATTGGCCAGTTTTGATTGCATTCAAGATTGGCCCATCTCTCCATTCAAATGACAGTGTACCACTGTCTGTAACAACAGGCACATCACAACCAAAAAGATCTGCCAAATCCTAAAAAGAGCATATGCACACATCATCAATGGAACACTCAAAAAGGCTGCTTTCAAAAGGAGGCTGTACTGACGATTTCCACTCCTACCCGCATGCATATTCCGGTCTGTGTTTACAGCTAAGGGATGAAACACAGAGACTGCATCGTAAAATGTCTTTTTGTATATGACATCTAAATTCAATCCTCCTACTCTACTATTCATAAAATTTAATTTAGACACCCACATTGTCCAAAGTTAGCAAAAGGGCTGACAATAATTTATGATGCCTATTACTGGCGATATTTAAGCACCGAATTATGCTGTACTACGGGCTCTTGTCCCAAAACACTGGTTGCACTAGGGCCTTTCGCATCAACAC